AGATAGAAGAGTTTGTTGAATCTGACGTGACATGTTCGTACGAACCCTTTGTACGAACAAAAGTAAGAGAAATTTAGGAGAAGAATACGAACATGTTCTTGCATGAGGCCCATTAACCCTGTGTGCTGTATGTCATTCTAAAATGCAAACATATTATTTTCCTAAACAATTATTATGCTGGAGATTGAGTATGCAGTATCATACCAGCTACCTAGCATTTAAGTTCCTGATAAAATTACCAAGTGCTGTAAGAATTCTAGCTAGACAAGTACACAAAGTGTTTTACATGTGTACTTGGTTTAATTAGAGCTCTGCAACCCTAATTTAATCGCTTTACCTTTAGTGTAGTCTCTTTTCATCATAGTTCTGGAAATATTTAGTAGGGATGCACGATATATCGACATTAACATGGGTATCTGTCCGATAAGTAAATCTGGGCCAATATTAACGTTTGATGTTGATTTCCCACGTTTTAGCTTTGTAGTTAGTGTTTCTGGAGGGGAGATGGTTGGTTGAGTGGCATCTGTTTGATCATGATGGTGACTCTGCAGCCAGGAATAACTGAAGTAGAGCCATGTCAGATGTCTGGTTACTTTTTATGATGTCGAAAAAACACAAGTATGTTTGTGTGTATGTATATAAATAGTTTGTGTGTTTGTGTAATCTGTAAATATCGGTTATCGACCATAATGATAATATCGGATATTGATATTGTCTGAAAKTTTCATATCAGTGCATCCCTAATATTTAGGCCCTATAAAACATGAACTTCAATATTAAAAAAAACCTTTTTGTATAGCTAGAACACATTGTATATGCTACCATCTAGCATATAGATTCACTCATAAAATGGGTAAAGCAGATTTGATTATTCAATGATTTTCTGGCAGCATAGATGGACGTAAACACATTTTTAATGATTTGAGCTAAAATGGCCTTATATTCACCTATGAAATGTTATATCACATTGAAATGTGGTTTGTATTTCTGGTCTGCTGGCAGGAGCTAAGCTACATTTAACAGCACAATTTCTCACCTTGGTTGGTTATTCCAGTGTGTTTCTGTCTATATAGTGCTTCTACCTACACGTGGGTGAGTCTATAAAGTCCATATTGTGTATTAGTGCCTTGTATCAGGAGTTGTTGATACTGGCAAACATGTCTGCAGTTCCTAAACCCCCACCTGACTTTGTACCAGGTACTGAACACAGAACCTGAAACTGTAAAGTAGCCATAAGAGTCAAAACAGCATACCCTGTCAGCTTGCTGTCTAAACAAAAGGGATTATCACCTCCATTTTAAATTCTTTATAAATCTCCTCCTGTGTGTTTGATCAGGAGTTCAGGAATATTGATAAAGCCATTTCAACCAGAGAAAATGATCGCTGTGGGTCATTGTTTACACTCATCTAATGGTTCACTTGTTAAATCATGAGTTCACACTGAGCGTGGCGTGATGGGACTGCTCTGATTCAGGAGTTTAAACACTGAAGACAACCTAAACTGCCTTAAAACACAATGTTGGTAATCCTAGTCATTTGGTACTACCACTGAAAGCTTTGTCCCTGCTTTCTGACTCCTATTGACATTCTTCCTGTTTCTCCATCTTTCAGACTGTCACAGCATGTATATACAATGTACAGTTCAATGCAGATCTGAGCTATGTGGGGGAAATTACAATCTGTATATTTAAATAAAAATATATTTATTAACAAGTAGTATTTGATTTTCATATTACAGAGGTAAAGTGCAATAAGAACACATTGCTACAAACTGAACAATGAAGAAATGACACCACAGTGACTGAGCTCAGCATGCTCAGTTCCTGCTTCTCAGGACAGTGTGTGTGTGTGTGTGTGTGTGTGTGTGTGTGTGAGAGAGAGAGACGCACCTGACATTCCTCAGACAGGACACAGGTGTGGCAGTGTTCTTTAGCTATCATGGAGGGGTCGGACAAAAAAAGTTGGTTTATGTTGACAGATGCACTAACTTGTGAGAAACCTACACTAAGCTGTTTCAGCAAGTGAGATGTAAACATTTTTGCAAATAGAACAAAGTCTGAGTTGCTACAAATCGAAATGTATTTAAATAAAAAAATAAATATAAATAATTCTTTTCTTAACTAAAAACTTTGTGCACATGTGCAGAAACTGCACCAACCTACAACAAATGACTCAGAACTCCACTCTCACTGTCGAGCTTCTTGCAGGGTAGTCCTCATCATTTTCATCTTCGTCACTATAGCGTGCCAGGACAGGTAGTCTGGCTGTGCAACCATCATCCTCATCATCTTCCTCCTCAGATGACAAGGCTTTAAACAGAAGAGAGCAGATCTGTGGAGAAGTAAAAAACAAACTTTTACGGCTTCGGTTTTATTTTACCACTTACATCAGACGTGGTTTGCAATCTCCTGAAAATCATATTTTTCTTAAAATAGATGCTTTTGCAAAAAAGAAAAAAAAAACAGCAAAATCTTATGGTTGTCTTGAAGTACCGGTATGTCTTTCTAACACATTCAGTGCCTGGGATCTGCAATAAGACTTATGGATAAACATTGTGTTGCAGCTGTAGAAGACCTCAGGCCTGTGTTCTTACTGCCATTTTGAAAAGACACCATGATGTCCTATAAGACTGATCTGCTTCTCACATACTTTACCTTCTTAGGGCAAACTTGAAGAAAGGTCCGAATCAGATTTTTGGACCATCTCAGCTATAAACAGGTCATGTCTGCCATTTTTGCAGCATAAGTAAAACACATCTGCTTGTCTTCTGCAGTTTAGCTCAATAGTTTGCACTTGCATCAAATACAAACTGTTTGCTTACTTTCTTCATATTGTGCAAATAATTTTACGTAAGTGCAATTGAAGTGACTGAAATCTTAATACAGTTCAAATGACTGAATGTTTTTGTAATTTTTCATCAACCATCCTGTTGGCTTTCTGTTGTCACTGACAGCTCGCTGTTTGACATGGTTATGTGATTATTTTATTAAGTTTAGCTTGTTTGTCTCGCTAGCACCGAGCTAATACGTATAAGGCAATATAGCGTCGGTGCTAGCGCWAAGGCTAACAGGCTAAGCTGAGGTTCTTCTTCCATGAAGCAGCTCTGTTGTCCTCCATCBATATTTTCAGTTMCAGGCTGAGTCATTTCTACCTTCTCCTCTCTGTCAACGCTCTCTGGTTTCATTTAAAAGAGTCGATCATCAGATATTGTCCAAGATTAACCTTCAGGGTGGATATAGCTCACTCACACTGAGGACCTATCCATGTCTTCATTTACCCAGAATGCTTTGTGTGTAAATAAAATGACTTCGTCCATGTTAAAATATACTTTTAAAAATGATCAAAACTAAACGGCCTACAGCAGGGGTGCCCAACCTTTTTTGAACCAAGAGCTACTTTTGAAGTTGGCAGTTTGCCGAGAGCTACTCGTCCAGTCTCAGTATTAAAAAAAACATAATTTTTGTCTCCCTACTCCTCACTTCTTTAAAGTAAATAAAACAGAACATGATGTGTTGCTAGTTTTATTTAATTTAAAGTATTGTCAAACAAAACTTTTTACTTAACCATATATATTTACCTACAAAAAAAAAGAAAAGATAAAGTCCTTACTTAACTCCTGACAGAGAAACATAAAAGTGATGCTTGAACAAAAAGGATCAATTTTTTTTTACCTCCTTCAATTAGTACTCACTGTAACGTGTGAGCTACCAGGGCTGAAAACCTGCCCAGTGAGAACCAGAGTCAAATAACTTTGGAGCACGGGAACTCGTCTCCATTTATTCAAAGAACTCTCCTCTCTTCTCTCCATACAGGGGAGGAAAAACAAAACAAAAATCTGTCAGGGTCAACATGGCTACCACAAGAGTGCCGCCCTTTTTTTTCAAAGTCAAAGCACACTATAAAACTCCCTAGCAGGCGGCTATAAAACCCAGTGCTGAGCTTCCAGGACCGGTTTCACCTGATCAGATCTGTTCCTTTTATTGTCTGGAACAGATCCATCAGGTGGGTTTCTGAATTTTATGCATTTTTGCAGAAATATCGCCCGCGAGGGGTTTCTGGCTGAATCCAGGCAGGAGAGCGGGTGCTGGACGTAGGACCACGGTTCCACCTCACTGGATCTCTTCCTTTTATTCCCCTGCATCAGCACCAGCAGCCCCGTGCTGGAAATCAGCCATTTCACTCGCTGGAGCTTGCCCAACTACATTTTATCACTTATATCACCGCGTGGGAACGTCCCAGTAACTACCTCCAGGTTGTAGCAAAGATGCAGAACATTAAAATGAGCCGTCTCCCGCCCGGACCCGACGCTCAGAGCCGGCGCTAGAGGCTCCGGAGTAAATTGAGTACTATATCGCCCGCCAAAGCGTCTTTTTCGGCCGGTCGTTGGTTAATAGCTCCGCGGGGGGACGTCCCAGGAACTTGCAACCACTTCCAGTTTGTAAAGGAGGACCGCAGCTTTCTAAAGTCAACTCACTTTCTCAGATCCGATGCTCAGAGCCCGCAGGAGAAGCAAACAAATGTTGAAATTTCCTCCCAAAAATGCGAGTAAAATGCACTAAGTCGTGCGTAATTTGGTTATAGCTCCGCGGGGCAACRTCACAGAGACTCCATTCACATATCAGCTTGTAGGGCAGAACCAGACCTTTAAAACCTTACCAGCCAYTCCGGGATCCGATGCTCCTAGYCCWGGGAGGGGGTCTAAAACCACCCCCAGSGGAGGTCCGAYGGTGCATAATTTTGGAGGTTTTTCAYTTATGTCTCCGCGGGGGAACGTCGCAAGGACTTCATTCAACTTTCACCTTGTAGGGGAGAGCTAGGGCTTTAAAACCCGACCATCCACGCTGGGTTCMGACGCTCCTAGCCAGGGAGGAGGGGCTAAAACCACCCCGGCGGGAGGTCAGACGGTGCGTATTTTGGAGGTTTTTTTGCCTATTGCTCCGCGGGGGAACGTCGTCAACTTTCACCTTGTAGGGCAGAACCAGAGCTTTCAAACAAGATAAGCCACTCCGGGATGCGACGCTCAAAGCCGGCGCTAGAGGCTCCGCAGCAAGGTTGYGCTGTGCGGGCACCTGGGAATCAGCTGGAGGGCGACTGGTTGGGCACCGCTGACCTACAGTATTTTTACAGTCTTTATTTTACAGTTAAAACAGATGTTTATCAAATAAAGTCTAATGTTACAACTAATCAGGGATCCCTTTAAAGAGTTCCCCTTTGATGTCACTTCCTGTTTCACTATGKCTGAGCCAAGTTCAAAAGGAAATATGTGACAAAATGGGTAAAATCACATGAATTATGCAAGGTTTGTTAAATAAAAAGGTGTTTTCTTTGACTTTTTGTATTCGGTGGACAGGCATGTCCCAGGARCTGTGAAGCTGTCTACTGGAACACATCAGTGCTGGGTCTGACAGCTGTGAGAGCGTGAAGAATTATCTCTCTCTGGGCACACTTCCCAGTACACTCGGCCTTCCTCGTTGCAAACTAACTTCTTAAAAGTGTGAACACAGACCAKACAGAGAGTCCAATAACATTTCCAAACAGCACGACCTCGTTACCTTAGTGGATGCAGGGGTTGCGGTGGTGCTGGCACATTCTTCAGCCTCACACAGTCTGGTAGGGCCACTGATCCGAGGCAGAGGATGAATCCACTCCGGACTGCCCTGGCTGGACAGGACCCGCTCGTGTTCCTCACACACACCCACAGGTAGAACTGCAGCATCTGCACACCTGAGAGGAYGCTCAGCTCAGGCTGAATGTTGTGATCAGGTGGTGAGACTCCAAACCTAACCTTCACTTTAAGCATTTAAACCATGCTGCACACTAGAGCTACAAAATAACTCAGCTTCTGTGCAGCGATCACATCTCTGAAGTCTGACTCATAAACTTGTGACTTATCCTGGTGAGAGCAGATAATTGCTTTAGTGGTAAGTTTCCTGCCTTAGGTGGAGACAGAAATAACATGTTGGGAAGTCAACAGAAACTACAGAAACTCACAACAAACATGTTACTACAAACATTTCATTTGTTTTTATCACATTCCTGTGTTTGTTTTTATTCATATTTTTCCTCAGGACTTTAYGAAGCCAGAGCGTGGTCACAACATGAGCACAATTAGCTCTAAACTCCTATGAGTAGGATTGTTCCAATAAAACTGCACAAGAAGAAAACAAAGGTAACATTCAGCTGAAAGGGAAAGTGGCCTCGGTAATGWGAGTGAACAAGAAAACAACCCTCTGCATGTAAACACATCACCAGTCATCAACATTACAGAAGCACGCCGACCACATGTACCAACAGGAACACAGTGGGAGGAAGAGAGCGAGCTGCTTTCAAAGGSCTTTAATGCAACCTCACAGGCAAGCAGGTGAGGCTGCATGACACGGCACAAAATGTTCTGAAACCACCTAAATGACGTGTCAAAGGAGCAAACATAACTGGTGCTGGAGTTTAATTGCTTAGCAGTGGAAACCGAGCCAGTACTGAATCAGTTTGAGAGCAGCTGAAGCAGGGCAGTGAGACTGAGAGCAGGATGAAGGGATTACGGACCGTCTCACTGAAAGGCTTCTAACTCAACTACACATGTCCTGGGCTTGCCCTATTTATCTCCCTGACAGACAGCAGACTGGCTGCAGTTAACACCGTGCCCTCTTAGGAGGATAAAAACAGACAGTGAGGGCAAAACCGCCTTGACTGAGAGCCAGGAGAAGAGCTCAGGTAAAGTCACGGAGAAAACATTTAAATATTCCCTGCAGTGGTGCAGCTCTGACAATCTGTCAAAGTCAAAATAACAACAAAACAAGTGAGATCTGTGCGGATTAAAGCAGAACGACTGACACTTGCAGCGTTTGTTACCTGGGTGTAGCTGGGGCGGGGGTCTCTGGCTGAGGTGGACCCCTGCTTTCAGAGTTGTTTAGAGTAGCCAACACCACGGTGGCATCAACAACCTCATCTTTCACAGAGAAGCACACGGGACTGCAGACAGCAGAAATCATACACTAGGACCTAAAAACCTATAAAATACTGCAAATAATCATCTGACTCCCATTTAAACAAATAATAATATTTAATAAGTGTCACTCACTCAGCTTGAAGGTAATGATATTTGTATTATTAGTTATTAGTCTGTTGTTAAGGCAGGCAATAATGTTTTTGTTTATGTTTGTGTGTTCGTGTGTCGATCTGCTACCAAAATAGCTCATGAACTGCAGGATGAATTTTAATGAAGCCAATAATAGATGTCTGTCACTGCCAGCTGACCTTTAAACACAAAAACTGATAGAACTCAGTCAGTTATAAAGATACTGGCATAACATTTGAAGTGGTAGTGGCTGAGAGTGACTCATCACACTTACTAAGATGAGCGTGTGCATAGTGTTATTTTTAAGGTATTTTCAAATTGTTACAACTCTGTCAATCATTAAAATGATCTTAGTTGAAAACTCTGGCAGAGATTGTAACGGCCCATATGCATTCTTTTAATTCACGCTATGCCTTTAATGTGACACAAGCTGAACATAAAAAAGCCAACTTACTTTCCTGCTGCACCAAAGTGAACTGACACTGGAAGGCAATGAGATGCTGCAAAAGACAGAATGCCCTGAAAAAAAAAATCAAAATAAACAAAACGCATAGTAAATATACATCAGCTTCAATTAACCAACAAATCTCAYGTGCTTGTGCATGCATGACATAATCACAACCATTCTGTGCAGATTTTACGCAATACCACCTCTCTCTCCCTGTTTAAGACTGGCCTGGAGACGCACCTTTTCAAATTAGCCTACTGCTGTTAATTCCTATTTTCAATATATGTCTGTTTTTGTTGTCCTCATTTCGATGTTTCTCCCCCACAACCCCATTGTTCAATTTGTCTACATTTTTGAATTTTATTATATCACTGTTCTGTACTCCACATCTCTGTTTCTCCCACACTACTTTATGTATATATATGTATCTATATATTTTTTCTTTTTCTATTGTACAGTGTCCTTGGGTGTCCTGAAAGGTGCTTTATAAATAAAATGCATTATTATTATTATTATTATTATTATTATTATTATTGTTAGATTAGAAGTTAACGAGTGCAGTCATAATGTGTGTACTGCCATGGAGGTGAAGAATTAACAATGCGTGAGACTGACTAATACCTAAATCCAGGTTTCTAATCCACCCAAACCCGATTTTCCAAAACCAGAGGTACAAGACGGCCAGGCCGTAATGAGGAGGCTCACAGCGGGGAGTTCAGCAAACATGCCGAGACAGTAGGGACAAGAGTCGTTGGAGTTAATGTAGGTCAAGTGTCATGAGCTGCACAAGTTCAGACTTCCACCGAATTTCCATGACTATTTAAGTCTTTTTGTTTTGAGTTTTAAATGGAAATGAACAYGACAAATCAGTGAGATTTTACTCARTTAGTTATTCAGAAATCTGAGATTGTGTATCAGTGTTTTCCATTTACTCAAATTACYAACACATGGGTGTTGGTCAAAGTTTGGGTCAGGAGTGTCAAACTAATTTCTGCTGAAGGCCACACGAGCATTAAGGTGGCTCTAAGGGCCAGGCGGAATAAACTTTGACTAAAAACACAAAACATTGGGGTCTTTGTCTCACTGCTGAGACTGAGAACAGAAAACAAACACTAACTGAGCTCTACATGGTATTTCCTGTGTAGAAACAGTGTTTAACACGTCCTCTTATAAATGAAAAGTACTACGTGTTCGACTGACTAAATGTGAAATAAATAAAACTGAAATACTATTAAAAGTAAAAGTCAGAGAGTTTTACTAGATGAGTTGTGGTGAGTAGCCACTAGGGCTGGGCGGTATGACCTCAAATTCATATCACGGTATAAATTGAACCCCTTCACGGTAACAGTATATATCGCGGTAGAAAATTATCATGAAAAGTAAAGATAATGTAATTTTTAGAGTATTTTTTTTTGCAGAGAACTGTAATCTTAATCAAACTCAGCATTTTTGCTTTAATATCTGCCTGCCAAACAGTGAGCTTCCACCTGCTATCAGCTGCTGCTTTGCTGCACGCTCATCTTCTTCATCATCTTCATCATCAGAGCAGAAGCCAACTTTGCATTAGCAAGATGGATTTATGGCTGAACGAATGTCCACGTCTTTTTTTAAAATCATCTCTGTGAGTAACAATACTTTAAAAAACAAGTTTTTTCTCCGACAATTGGGTGTGAAAAAACAGTTGTTAAAGCRCTCTGCAYGACGTGCAGCGAGAGGAAGAGATTATGATCCCGCGACACGACGTAACTTTTCTACAGYGGTAGGAGGATATTTTGAGGATTTATCCTCTCTATWCRTGTTTTAAAACACTAGAATTTCTTCATTAAATTTCGAACTTCTCCTGCTCTGTTGTCTCTGCACTCGCAGCCCTGTTCACACAGGTGTGATGACGTAATGACGATATGACGGTAGAGCGTAAATTTCTACCGTAGGCCAACTTCAATACCATTTCTACCGTCTACCGCTTACACCGCACAGCCCTAGCCACCATCTTGAAATCTGAACCCTCCCACATTCTGACAGGGACTGTCCACTGGGGGATTTTCCGGTTTAAATGTACCACTCGTAAGTGGGAAATTCCACTTCCCAGTATAAAAGGAAGTCAGCAAATGTATCTGGAGAAAATGCAGTGAAATGGAGATTCACAGATCAGCGTGTTTGTTTAAGAGAATGATAAAGGTTAGTCTGTTGGAGAAATATAAAATGGTATTATGTAAGATTTGTTGCTCAAGAAGATGTTAAACTTTTGTTGACTTTTTTGTTTGTTTGTTTTTTGTTTGTTTTTATTTTTGTTTGTTTTCTTTCTCTGTATATTTTTTGTTTTGTGTCTGGTATTTGAAGATTATTTTTTAATTGAATTTCTTTAGTGAGAAAAGGGGCAGATATAAGTTTTTTTTCTTCTTTTCTTTTTTCTTTCACTTAATTTGAGATTGTATTTTTGTTGTATATACAATTTGCTGTTGTTTTTTAGATAAATGAATAAATAAAATTTTACATGGTGAATTATTCAGTGACCGTTGAGTCTTGTGCACCTCCACCTAGAGGAGGGATTCTGTCATTCTGCACGTAAAATAACCAACATGCTTTATGAGAGATACACAGTAGTTTATGGTCAATGCTTTAAAGAAGCATATGCTTATTTTAAATCATTAAAAACATTTTTGAAACTCTAACAGGCCACATAAAATACCCAGGTATACCCAGGTTGTTTGGTTTGTGTTCAAATGTAACAAACATTTTGCCACAAAGTACTTTTATTACATTTTTTAACGTGTGGTGGTGCGTCACCTTAAGTTATTCTATCATGGTTAGAAAATCACAGCCCTGAAGGCAACATTTACAAGAACATGAAACAAGAGCCAGGCTGGGGCTTTAAGAGYTTTGAGAATCCAGACAACAAGGCCAAATAGATCACTCCTTACACAGGCGATGCTCTGTAGTACACACAGACACACAACTACAAAGCACACATTAATGAAGTGGCTGTTACCCTCAGCTCCTTCAGACAGAAGGTTATGTCAGAATCCTCTCCTATTTGAAAATGGTCAAACTCGTCTGGATGTAAGGACATCTCAGTGCACGTCATCTTCATGTGACCTAAAACACAAGTACGTCTGCATGCTTGAAATAGTGGTGCAACATTAACTTAGGCCTAGAAGTGGTTGTGAGTCCTGGATCTGAACGWACACTTGTGTTAACTCACCTTTTCCTCCCTCCTGGTAGTTTCTCAGACAGACTTTCAGTGGAGTCGTAGACAGAGTGATTTCCTCCTGAAATACTGGAAAGTGAGCCACCATGTCACCAAGGAGCCTGCAGGAACAGGGAGCAGGACAAATGCAAAACAACACAAGTGTGTCAGGTTTAGAGCTGAGATAAGGTAAGAAAAGGATTTAAATATCTACAAACAAAAGGCTGACGGGGCAGCAAAATACTGAGTGGAACGCTCAAGAGGACCACATGAAGAACCAGACAGGGGAACAAATCACAGTGACTGAGGACTGAGTGAGGACTGGGAGAATAAGCAGGCTGAGAGTGAAGTGGTGAGTGGAGACAGCTCAGCAAAATGAATATGAGGAACAGGTGCGAGAAGAGGAGCGAGACTGAGAAAAAGGAAGTGGACGGCACAGAGAAAGGTTGTCATCTAGGTTTTCTGAGTGGCTTTCAAAATACTTCTTTGGGCACTGGCTGCTTCTTCACTCYGTCAAATCCTTTTTTTACTTCAGTGCCTGACCATTTTTACAGAAATTAGCTCCAATTCATAGAAATTGCACGGAGCTATTTAAGTTGATATAAAGTTGTGGAGTGATAATCACGGATAAACACATCAATCTAAGTAATTCAGTGAATTTTACGGTGCTAACCTGGCAGGAGCTTTCAGCACATTCGGACAGAGGTGGGTGGCAAACATTGCCTCCACAGCCTCACTTTCCTGGAAGCTTAGGTTGTGAGTTTTAGTTATGCCTGACACAAAAACAGAGAGATTAGAGCACACTGCCCCCAGGTGTTAACAATGTGCAATAACTATTTGTTGCAGAATACGAATTACAGATGCAAATTTGACTAGTTTCATAATAATAATAAATCTAATAAATTATAAACATTCCATCTCCTGTCTTTGATTCTTTCTTACATCTAGAGCTGGTTTATATTGCAAATATTGTTTCTTACCATGTCTGCAGATGAACTGGATCATCACTCTGTCAGTMGGAGTGGTGATTGATATGTGACATTCTTGCACACTGCGCTCAATGGAAGTCAGACAGCGAAACAGTGATAACACCGACTGTAACAGGAGTGCAATAATTAACAGTCGTCGTTTTCTTCATCAAACTAATTAGGAAGTTTATGACGACAGATTGTGTGCCAAGGAAAACGTTTACCTTCATGAGCACTTTACATTTGATTGCTTGTCTGTGCTGTTCTGACAGTGATCTCAGGCTGTACTGCTGGAAGAACAACGGCGAGAAGAGGAAGCCTCCATATGCAGAGAGAGCAGAACTCACAGATCTCAGAGCCAGCTGTCAGGAAAAAAAAATTAAAAAGAAAAGACAAAGTCAAGGAAATGAGTCATTTAGGCAAAAACCGAAGGACAGGAGGGATGTCTTATGGAGGTTTTATCTCCCCCACCGTCCCCAGTCCAGCTCAGCTCACCCCTTTGACCATGGGATCCAACCAGAGCTCATCTCCAATCCGTGACAAGGCATGGACAGCTTTCCCAAAGACTGCAGCAGAACCAGCTACAAGTTTGTTAACAGTAAATAATAATACAATTGTTGTTTACTCGTCTAGCTACGAATTTTGTCGCTTATCCTGTTTATTTACTAAAGTGGATACACTGCAACATGTTGAATCACAGCTACCATAGGCATAGCTACGTTAGCCAAGAGAAAAGCAAAGTTTAACTTATCATGCTAGCGCTTCTATTTGTTATCGGGTTTAAATATATATATTTTTTAAAGTAAACTTAAATTTAATCTAAATTACCTTTGATACAGCTCCCTTCAATAACACAATTCATGCTGGACAAGACAACAAATGAAGCTAGCTAGCTTTTTTTTTTTTTAATGAAGCTAGCTAGTTCGCTACTGAACCGAACTGCGTAATTGGCGCAYGCGCAGAACGTTCATAGTATATTTACAAATCTTAGAGTGAACCGATTTAATGCATACACATAGATATGGGTTACAGCCTAAATATTTACACAAATTATGTAGTTATTTTATATTATAAACTGTKTGAATATGTTTTTAAATAGGAGACTAATCCAAATTGCAAATTATTTGCATATTTTCAGTACAAAACCGTCCTGGTGTTTTATTTCTATACAAATGAATCACCYAAGTCAATAGAACAATTTGACTGTAACAGCCTTTAAGGGTGGATAAACCTCCCTAGACCATGGTCTTTGTAGAGACAGAGTCCATTTAAATTGAAATGCATTGYTTCAAGCAACCTGAGTACATCATGTGCATGTAAAAAGTTCAGTTTTATTTACCATTACTAAGTGTTTAGAGTACGATTTTGGCTCACTGACTTAAATGTGTCTATTATACTAGTGGTTCCCAACCTTTTTAGACTTATGAACCCCCGAGCCATTTTGTCATTCCACTAGTACCCCGTCTGTCAAAAGTAATGATGCTTCTGCAAAACTATACTGTAGCCTACAACAGCTGATTATTAAATGAAAAGTATTTATTTAACCCCATAGAACGTTTAATTTTCAGGCATTTTGTTCTTTTCAACTCAAATTAAACAAAGATAAAAACTTTGCCTTGAAAGTGAATATTTAATTAAATAAATAAACCAAGTAATGGCAGGTGCAGAAAACAGCAGTGTCCAAAATATATTGTATTGTCCAAAATACRTCAGAAACTCACCCAAATGAGCAAATGAGATTCTGTGTTTTATACTGGATTCCATTTTGTGTCAATTTTGTGATTCCATTTGCATTTTCCACATTGTAGAAGTCATAGAGCCCTACATATCTCAGTCCTGTTTTTATTAATTTTTTTACACACCTGGGAAATTTTTCCACATACCCCCTGTAATATGCTCCCGTACCCCAAGGGGTACACGTACCCCTGGTTGTGAATCTCTACTAGACTATCAGCTTAAAACAGATCTATAGCTCTTCAAATAAGTTCTAGCAGTGGAAAAGTTGAACCACGTTGTCTCAGAGTCTAACTCTTTGGTACACTGTAGTTTTTTCAGATGAGAAATTTATACAGTCAGTACTAAAGTTTTCAGCATTCTTGTTCCCTTGGAATTTTTTCACTTAAAGGGGAAATATCATGTAAAATCAACTTTTTTGAGTTTTATATCATGTTATAATGTTATCCTYTCATCAAAAACATGCCCAGAGTCTTACTTTGACTCATTCATGCATGTTTGAGAAATCCTGCAGTGTTAATGAGACAGCCAGGCAGGGGAGCAAAAATGACCGATAGGGAGTAGAACCTCCTTTGGGATCAGCTCCTCCTCTGGGCTGTGTCTCCAAGCTGAGCTTCCTCATCACAGAGTCACACAACCATAGATATCATATAAATAACTAGAGACCTCATGGCAAGCTGAATCGCATTGCGCGGCTCTGCCATTTTGAATGGGTATCTCCTCAAACAAGCAGCACTGGAGCAAGCAACCATGCCCTTATTTGGTGCATTAATCTACTGTTTTGAAAGCAGATCACATGGGATTACCTTTTTATAAGTAAGGCTGAACAATAGTTTTGATTATTTAATATTTATAATATTTTATCATTGTAGCTAATGTTATTTGGCARTCAACAAAATGATAACAGCAGGAACTCTATCTCTTCCTGGGTTTTTTTTTTTCCGTCACATAGACCTCCTAGTTACACAGACTTGAGAAGTCCTAATCAGAACAGAGGGTTTTGTTGCTCATTCAAAATCTGAAGAGAGCACTTMAAGAGATCGGCTCAAATCGTCAGGACTAGAGGTGATGTTAAAATGTGAATAATGCTTTAGTATACACATACTGTGACTGCAGGACCTGCAGCCACACAGTAAATAAAGGTTGTGTCACTATTTTACTATCTGTTTGGTATCTTACAGGGATTTTTGACCTCYGCCAAGGGGAGGAGGTAATGTTTTCTGTCTGTCTGTCTGTCTGACGGATTGTCATGACATTTTTACAACATGTGGGTACTGGCCCAAGGAACACACCATTAAATTTTGGTGATGTTCCGGATCACGACGCTATGGAAGCGTATTGATGTCATGGAGGAAAATAAATTTCTGAACACTATCACATTTGTACAATTTCTGTTGACCTGCAGTATATACAGCTGCTGGTCATWAAATTAGAATATAATGAATAAGTTGAATTATTTCAGTAATACCATTCAAAAAGTGAAACTTGATTTATTTCAAATGTTTATTTTATTTTTGATGATAACGGACTACTGTAGAGTGAAGTGACCCCYATTCTGGGATGACCTCTGAACCCTGACGTTATGTCCAGAACTGAACTATTTTCTTTAAAGGGGCAATATTATGTGTTTCTCAGGCATCTATTTAAATTCTGTACCATAATAAAGTAACTATGTCACATCTAGTTGTTATTAAAATGCTGTTTATATGTTTAAATAGAAAATAAACTTGACTTCTCATCATATCTGTTTCTAAACACCTCCAAATTAGCTCTGTCTCTTTAAGAACCTCCTTCCGCTTCTGTCCCGCCCATTTCAGCATGGGGTCAGGTGGGTGTGTGTGCTCTGTGATGAGGAAGCTCAGGTTGGAGACACAGCCCAGAGGAGGAGCTGGTCCCAAAAGGAGGTTCTAGACCCAACCGGTTGTTTTTGCTCCTCAGCATGGCTTCCTAAAAACACTGCAGGATTTCTCAAACATGCATGAATGAGTCAAAGTATGGCTCTGGGCATGTTTTTGATGAGAGGATAACATTATAACATGATATAAAACTCAAAAAAGTTGATTTTACATGATATTGCCCCTTTAAACGTTATTTTAAAGAGTCTCTCTTGACATACTGTATTATGTTTTAATAAGATTTATTGTTCTTTACCACTTGTGACGGCCTCTGCTGCTACTGTTGGCGGGGTGCTGATTAACTGTGCTTCCATAAGGGACTGGAARGGGAGGAGCCGGGTTCAGGATATAAGGAGCATCCAGTCCTGTTTGGAGGAACGGCAGTCTGATGGTGGTTTGGCTAAAAGAGCCTGTTGTTCCAAGTAACCTGGTGGATTATGTGATGGTTGCAGGAGATGTTTGTGTGCCACACGAGATCYTGTGAAAGAGAATATGTCTGCAGTGCAGTCAAAAATGAAAGCTTTGTTTGACCGTCATGTGGAGGTGCGATCATTTCTGCCTGGCGATCAGGTGTTGGCTTTGTGTCCAGTCATAACTTCTCCTTTTCAAGCTAAATTGACCGGCCCGTTCTTGAGCAGCTGTCTGATTAGCATTACTTCATTTCAATGAGAAAGAGGAGAAAGAAAACTCAGTTATGTTCCTGTAAACCTGTTAAAGCCATATTCTGCTGGTCAGGTGTAATTAGAGCAGTCAGAGTGTGCTGAGGCTGTGAACAGTCCTGCTGGAGTGWCTGGGTGTTTCAGCACCATGGACAGCACRCTGCCATTGGTGGGGGATGACAGTGATACTGGTACCATGGACAGTGAATTGATGCATGGATGTCTTAAAAATTCTGATACTTTGTGCAGGTTAGACACGTTGTTGGMTCATTTACCTGAACTGTCTTTGCAGCAGCTCGCTTGTAGTTTTCATTGATGCATTTGTTCCAAATATTATCAAGAAATTATTTAAAAACAGGACATCTTGAAACATAAATACAGAGGAATCAACAGCACTCCAAGAATATCAAAATGTTTTAATAAGCGCAAAAATAGACACATTTCAGCTACATGCCATCATCAGCTTGGGACAGATCCCTGGCAAACAATGAGTCTATGTAGAGATGAAAGGTCATCTAAGCCAATCAGAGACAAGTTGGGCAATCAGCCCAAATGAGAGACACCTGTGATAAACGAGCAGAATCTGTGACAAGCAAACAATATACAACACTCCATGAAGTTTCAACACATATGAATACATGAAATCACAAAAGTCAGAGAAAGCATTTATTCTTTTATTGTTTATAGAATTTATTTTGTTTTTTAAGAAATTAATTAAGTCTTTGAATTGAACTGAAACTGACAGAGGTCTATAAAGTACTTAAAAAAAACAAATAAATAAGCTTCCAAAAATTTGAACAGAAAGGTGGAGTGTTATCAGATTTAGGCAYCAAAATGAATGGACATGCCCAACTGGACATACTGCCAATCTATTTTCCAACATATAACCAACTTCTGCATCCAAATACTTGCGCTTCTCCAGATTCACTCTGTAAAACTGTTTAATTGACTTAGAGTCTCCGACATCCACATCATGTTCCATCAAATGTGTGCGCCCTGCTGTATCAGAAAACAAACAAGGAAACTGATTTATCAACCCAGCYAACGTGTGTAGATGACAGCAGTCTGACTTGTGCTGGAAGTCTCCAGTGTACAGTGTGAACAGGAATGGTGAGAGTACAGTTCCCTGTGGTGCTCCTGTGCAGCTGACCACCTGGTTAGACACACAGTCTTTTAGTCTCACTAACTGTGGTCTGTTTGTCAGCTAGTCTTTGATCCAGGTGATTGTTGAGGCCTCCACCTGAGTCTTTTGCATTTTCCATTTCCAGAGGTTTATAGTAACTAAGTACATTTTGTTACAGTTTTTTTTGAGGGTTTGTAATTTTACTAAGTATTTTTTAAATCATTCCTTTTACTTTTATTTTTGTTAAAATTTAAAGCTAAAATTTACACTTTTACTTCTTTACTTTAAAATTTAATACCTAGTTACTCGTTACAAAAATAAATGAGTTTGAACTCATCATGGAAGGAGCTGTTTATGCACTACAAAATAATGAACGGTTGAATTTACTCAAGCAAGTCATGTCAACTGGCTCCACTAAACTGGCTAGTAGGAATATTTCTATTGCTTTGTATRTTTGTCCCACTCTCTGATTAGGTAGATGTGTAAAGCCTTGCAAAGAGCTTCACTTCTGGTAAAT